ACACACACACACACACACACACACACACACACACACACACACACACATCCTGTAATTTGAACGGCCAGGCCACTCAATGGTATCCTGGCCAGCTGCCCTGTATAGTTTACCCTGGATGGCAGCCGGGTCCCTCCCCTTGCCCCACCTCTTCCCCAATTGGTTGGATAAATTGCCTCCCTTTGCCCCTTCCCGTGAAGTCTGCCTGCAGCACTAGCACGTCTCTGCTGAGCCTCTGCCCATTTCTGGAAAAATCCTGCAGGACCAGAGTGTCAGCTAGCAGCATGGGTAAGGAAAGGGGTCCCAGAACCATGAATAGACCACCCCTAGTTTGGAGGGTCCTCCTCCCTCCAGGAAATGACTCAACACAGTGGGGAGGGCAGTGGAGAGAGAGCTGGACTTTTGTCCGGACCGACCGATGCAGGCATGAGCAGCTCAAGTGAAGGCTTCCTGCAAAATATTTCTCAGCCTAGCTTAAGTACTAAGGAACAGAAAGGGACTGTCAGAAATGGTGGTCTGCGCATCCCACCCGGCCTCAGCAGGGGCAGGGTGTCAATCTAGTAAATAGATGAGTCTGGTTTTAGCACTGGGAAATTTATTGCTTGCATGGGGGTTACAAAAGAACAGCTCTCACAGACTGGATCTCTCAAGCTGCTTCATGTCCACAGTCAGCTGGGAAAGTCAAGCCTCTAGCCTACTGAGGCTGAGAGTTTGGGAAGGAATGTTGGGGTCCTGCTTCCCTTGGAGCTGGTTCTTCCCTGGACTAGTAGAAAGACCAGTGACCAGCCTGGCACAGGAAACCTACTTGAACTTTGCCTGGGTTCCTCAAACTGGAGAAGTCACAGACTTTATTTAAGATGCTTAAAACTGCAGGGTGCTCCACAAAGATGCTGCTCCAGGCAACCCAGTGGCCTGGACGACGCCCTGGGATACTGAGGCAAAACTCCTCCACCCTTTTCCTCTTTTAAAAGATGCTTTTGTTTTATGAATGTTTGCCTGTATGTATAAATGTGTAGCACATTTGTGTCTAGTGTTCATGTAGGCCAGAAGAAGGTGAGTTCCATGAGTGCTGAGAACTGAACCGATCCTCTGCAAGAACAGGAAGTGCTCTTAACCCCTGAGCCATCTCTTCAGCCCCAGAACAGCCTTTCTGCTGCTGTTTGTTTTTTGAGACAGGTTCTCACTATGTAGCCCTGGCTGCTCTGGAACTCATTATGTATATCAGGCTGATCTTGAACTCGCAGAGATCCTCTTGCCTCTGCCTCATGAGTGCTGGGCTGCAAACATACTTTTGTTGATGCTCTTCACCCCCTTACATCGGTGTGTGGTGGCTCATGCCTGTATCCTAGAGCTAAGGAGTCTGAGGCAGAAGGATCTTGGTGAGTTAGAGGCCAACCTAAGCTAGGTGGTGATTTGCAGGTGAAGCCAGGTTTCTGGACTCCACGCTACTGCTGCCGCCCCACTTCCGACACCTTCTGGATGTGTGTCTCCCAGGCAACAGACAAGGCTTTGCTCTGGACTTTACTCCTTTATTATTTTCTTAAATCTTTATTTGGTCAGTCTAGGTGTTTTGCTTGCACTTATGTTCACTACGTGTGCGCCCTATGTCTAAGGAGGTTACAAGAGGGTGTCAGATTCCCTGGAACTCCATTTATATGCAGTTCTTAGCCACCATGTGGGCACTGGGAATCCAATCTGGTTTCACTGTAAGAGCAGCCCTAAGCTATCTCTCTAAGCCCTCTCCTGCCTGCTTGTGGCCCTGGGTCAGGGCAGGAGGCAGAGCCTAGTCCTGTGAAATCCACCCCAGGATTTCTTTCAACCTGCACCAACCACCTTCCCTGTTCAACTTCTCCACTATCTGGAATCCTGGTGGCTGTTTTGTCAGACTGTAGCCTCTGCCTACAGCTGTGGTGGGTAAGAAAGTAGAAAGTGGCCTAAGGACACACAGCTGGTATCAGTCTTGAGCAAACAACCCGCCTCCCACCCCAATCTGGATTGGTTGTATAACCCTGGATTCGGCCAGCAGCCTGGCTCAGGCCCTGCCTGGGAGAAGTCCCCAGGCCCTGCCCTGGATGGATTTGGTGGAAGATGCAGCCTGCCTGATTTCCTCAGAGCTGCTGATCCACACAGATATCAGAAGACTGCTCACCTAGCTTAGGACTCACAAAGGCCCCTCAGCTTCTGTTTTTGATTTGTCATGTTGAGGATTGAACCCAGGGTCTTTCAATGCTAGGCAAGTACTCTACCACTGAGCTGCCTTCCTCCACTGTTTTTAAGATTTATGGTAGGTTTTTTTTTTTAAGTTTTTTTTTTTTTTTTTAAGATTTATTTATTTTATGTATATGAGTGTTCTATCTGCATTTACACCTGCCAGAAGAGGGACTCAGTTCCCATTATAGATGGTTGTGAGCTACCATGTGGTCGCCAGGAATTGAACTCATGACCTTTGGAAGAGCAGACAGTGCTCTTAACTGCTGAGCCATCTCTCCAGCCTGATTTATTGTAGTTTTAATTATTGTGTATGTGTGTCTGTATCCACAGAGGTCAGAGGCATCTTATCTCACCTAGAACTGAACTTTCAGGTAGTTGTGAGAGGCCTGATATCGATGCTAGAAACTGAACTGCTGAGTCATCTCTCCAGCCTCCCTAGCTTAGTTTAATTTTGTTTTGTTTTTAGACAAGGACATTTTTGGGTTTTGTTTGTTTTTATTAAACAACTAATTTATTTATCTATTTATTCATCCTTTTATTTATATATTTATTATACAATTTATTTATTTCTTCTGCCTGTGCATTGGAAGAGGGAGGGCACCAGATCTCACTATCGATGGTTATTAGCTACCATGTGGTTGCTGGGAATTGAACTCAGGACCTTTGGAAGAACAGCCAGTGTTCTTAACCTCTTAGCCATCTCTCTTTTTTTTGTTTGTTTGTTTGTTTTGTTTTGTTTGTTTGTTTGTTTTGTTTTCGAGACAGGGTTTCTCTGCGTAGCCTTGGCTATCCTGGAACTCACTCTGTAGAGCAGGCTGACCTTGAACTCAGAGATCCACTTGTCTCTGCCTCCCAAATGCTGGATTAAAAGGTGTGGGCCACCACTACTGGGCAAGACAGGGTCTTTCTATGTAACCTTGGCTGTCCCAAAACTATGTAGACCGGGTTGGCCTTGAACTTGTAAAGATCTACCTGCTGAGTTCTGGGATTAAAAGCATTAAAGGATGCCCCCAACTCAATATGTAGTAAGGCTAATCTTGAACTCATGCCCTTCCTGCTCCTGCCTCCCTATGGCCACAGTGCCCAGCCCGCTGTGGTACTATTATCTCCTTTTCACAGATGAACTGGACACTGAGTTAGATCATTTGCCCAAATTACTATGACCACTCAGGTAGGCTGAGGCTTAAATAGAAGTCAATGTCATGACTACTGAGCACAAAGCCTCTGCCCCACTTCCTCCAAGACCAAGAGAGTCCACTTCTGGCTCATGTGGCTCTGCTTTCCCACCATACTCTCCCCATCATCAGAGCTGGGGGACAGGAGTTGGGAGGGGGGAAGGATAGAACAAAGTTATGGGCTGAAATAGGGACCTGGGGCAGCAGCGAGTCTGCCCTTGGCTGCCAGGTGTGTGTTACAGGCTGTAGAGAGGGAGATTTCGCCTCCAAAGCAGGCCCCAGTCAACGTGTTCCCATTGTTGCTGCAGCTACAAAATGTGGACAGTGTGGCCCTGGTTACCCAACCCCTCTGGAGGCCATGAAAGGTAAGTGTGCATCTAAGAGCGAGCATTCCTGGGCAAAACCCCTAGTTGGTTGAGGGGACTACAGACCTGGCCTTAGCCCTCTGCTTCAGCCCAGCCCATTACCACAACCTGCTTTCTTCCCAGGCCCCCGAGAGAAGATTGTCTACCTGCCCTGCATTTACAGGAACACAGGCACCGAGGCCCCAGATTATCTGGCTACTGTGGATGTTGACCCCAATTCTCCCCAGTATAGCCAGGTGAGGTGAGGCATGGTCACTGGTACCCCTGAGGCTCCCACACAGCCCTAAATTCACCCTTTGTTTTCCTCCTTGGTATGGCAACAGAAGCTATTCATTGCACAGGGGACTAAATTGAAACCCTGCCTGTCCTTGGATGCCAAGCCAAAAATGAGTCTATAGAGGCACAGCCTGGGCAAGCAGCACTTCCTGCTCCTCTTCATCCTAGGTCATCCACAGGCTACCCATGCCCTACCTGAAGGACGAGCTGCACCACTCTGGATGGAACACTTGCAGCAGCTGCTTTGGGGACAGCACAAAGTCACGCAACAAGCTGATGCTGCCCAGTCTTATCTCCTCCCGGATCTATGTGGTGGATGTGGGCACTGAGCCTCGTGCCCCAAAGCTGCATAAGGCATGTCCTCTGTCCTTGGGGCCGGAGACCCTACTGCTGGCCCAACAGCCCCTAGAACAGCTGCCTCCAGCTCTTACACAGGGTCTGACTCAGCAGCAGAGAGGGAGGGTAGACTTTAGAATTACCTAGGCAGGCTGACATGGCACCATTAGGCAGCATGGGTTGGGATGGCAGAAGAGGAGGCTTCTTCTTTGAGCAGAGAAGAGAGCCCTTTTTCTCCATCCAGCTAGGAGCTCAGGGCTTCCCTCAGGCAGGAGCTCCAGGCCTTCCTCTCAGCACTCCATTGGACACCATCCCTCTGTATCAGATGCACACAGCTGGCTGCTGAGGGTACAGAGATGACATTGGCATAGGAGGGGCCCCAGGAGATGGGTGTGCCTTCAAGAGACTTGGGGAAGTTTGATGCTCTTTGGCTGCTTCTCTGCCTCTCTCTTGCTGTTCTCTGAGTTACCAGACTGAATCTGTGCTGTCTTCCCTCAGGGAGAGGAAGAGAAGACAGGGTCCACAGATAAAACAGGGAGAATGGGAGCAGGAAGTTGATTCTCCTGGCTCTGTAAAGCCCTGACCCCATTCCTCACTTTCTCCAGGTCATTGAAGCCAGTGAAATTCATGCCAAGTGCAACCTGGGCAATATGCACACCAGCCACTGCCTGGCCAGTGGGGAGGTGATGATCAGCTCCTTGGGGGATCCCCAGGGTAATGCCAAAGGTATCTGCTGGCACTGTGGCCTCACAAAACTTCAGCAGCTAAGAAGTGTGGGAGGCATCCAAAGCCTGGGGAGCAATGGAGTAAGGAACCAGGGAAAACTGGCTGTCTGAGTACTAGCCAGCATCTGAAATGTCAGCAAGTGATGTCAGTTGTTTCCATTATTCCTACAGTGACGAGGCTCAGCTGGGCCTGGTGGTAAAAGATATAATTCCAGCTATTCTCCAGGCCAAGGCAGAAAGATCACAAATTCAAGGCCTGCCTGGAAAACTTAGCAAGACTTTGTCTCAAAATACAGACAAGGACTGGAGAGATGGCTTGGTGATTAAGAGCATGGCTGCTCTTCCAGAGGACCTAGGTTCAATTTCCAGCAACTACCTGGCAGCTTATAGCTGTCTGTTCCAAGGGATCAAACATCCTCACATAGACATACATGCAGTCAAAAACCAATGTACATAAAATAAAAATAAATTTAAAAAATACAAACCAAAGGCTAGAGAAACACCCCGGTGATAGACCACTTGCCTACCATTAGTGAAGTCCCAGTTTCAACCCCCAATACAATAACACACACATACAACATACACGATGAGCTGTGACTGCTGAGTTTGCTGTGGTTAGTAGTCTGCCATTAGGATGTGAACATACACATGAATCTAGGACATACATACTATAATACCAGCCTTTGTGGATTCATGAGCAAACTTCATGGCCCTGGCTTGGCTTGTTTTGTTTTTTTAGTTGGGAGGAACTCTTGTGAGTTTGAGGCCAGGTTGATCTACATAGTGAGTTCTAGGATACCTACATGGAGGGACTATGTCTCAAGAAAAAGAAAGATGGAGGGAGGGAGGGAGGGAGGGAGAAAGAGAGGAAGGGAGGCTTCTTGGGATGACCTGCCCAAGCTGAGACTCTGGGAAGAAACCACTATGGTTGTAGGTTGGCAAGTGATCTTTATGGGGCTGAATCCCAGAACTCTCCATTCAAGGGGAGAACATTGTCCCCAGAGCTCCAGGAAAGGATGATGTTGAGAAGTTGCTATGAGGGGGAGCACAGAGTAAAGGCTCTGCCTCTCACCTCTCTCTGAAATGGATGTTTGGGCGCCTGACCTTAAGGATCTGGTCAGCCTGCTGGGAAAGAACAATGGTTCACCACCTCTACCTAAGCCCCTTTCTTCCCTGCTCAGGGGGGTTTGTACTGCTGGATGGGGAGACTTTCGAGGTGAAAGGGACATGGGAGAAGCCTGGGGGTGCCGCTCCAATGGGCTATGACTTCTGGTACCAGCCTCGACACAATGTCATGGTCAGCACGGAATGGGCAGCTCCCAATGTCTTCAAAGATGGTTTCAACCCCAGTCATGTGGAGGCTGGTAAGAATCACCCTGAGGACAGGCAGAAGCCTTGGTCCACATCCCCTGCTTTCAGCCCTCTACCCTACACCAGAGACCCCACTCTGGGTAACAGGCTAAGACATGCCTGGTCCTCAGACCTGCTCAGAAGTCCCCTGTGCCCAGTTCCAGCTCTCTGTCCTAGCCAGCGCCCTGCCTCTGACCAGCTCTCCCATCCTGCCCTGAGCTCAGCCTCTGGAACCTATTCCCTCCCCCATCAGGGCTGTATGGGAGCCACATACATGTGTGGGACTGGCAGCGTCATGAGATTATCCAGACCCTGAAAATGAAGGACGGGCTCATCCCCCTGGAGGTCCGCTTCCTGCATGACCCAGCTGCCACCCAGGGCTTTGTAGGCTGCGCCCTCAGCTCCAACATCCAGCGGTTCTACAAGAATGAGGTATCTTTGACACCACATGCACGTATCAGGATCTCCTCTAGGCTTCAGTGTCCACACTTCTTGGTCCCACCAGCCTCAGGCTTCTCCAGGAAGGAACACTGCTTGCTACATGGCTAGGCTAATTTTCACCTTGCCTAAGTCTGTTTTCTGTTGCTATAACTGAGCATCTGAGCATCACAAGCAGGATCATTATAAGGAAGAGAGGTTTATTTAGCTCACAGGTCTGAGGTTAAGCCATCCAAGGTCAAGGAATGGCATCTGGTGAAGGCTTTCTTGGGGTTGGGAACACCTGCCTCCAGGGACATCACAGAGTAAGGCAGCACATGCAAGGGACAAACTGGCTTTATTAGCAGACTCATTTTAAAATACCCACAAACACTCTCACGGGTGAATCCATCCTCCATGAGCTCTGACTGAATTATTTAAAGGTCCCACTTAGTCTCCACGTGATGGTGCACACCTTTAATCCCAGCACTGAGGAGGTGGAGGCAGGTGAATCTTTGTGAAGTGAAAGCCATCCTTAAGAGTTCCATAAAAAGTTCCAGACCAGCAAAGGCCACATAGTGAAATTCTGTCTCGAGCAGCCAACAGGGGCTGGAGAGATGGCTCCGCAGTTAAGAGCACTGGCCATTCTTCCAGAGGACCTTCAATTCCTGTATCCACATAGTGGCTCTCAAGTGCTGTAACTCCAGTTCCAGGGGATCTGAGTTCTCTGGCTGCTGAGGGAACCAGGAACACATGTGGTGCACAGGACATACATGAATGCAAAACACTCATGCATACGAAACAAAATAGAAGTCGATTAAGTTAAAAACAAACAATAAACTAAACAACAAGGTCTCACCTAGCCAGTTAGAATAGCTCACACCTGTAACCTCAGCACTTGGGAGGTGGAGGCAGGAGGATTGCAAGTTCAAGGCCAGCCTCTTCTATAGCGTAAGCCCTCTATCTCACAAAAACAATTAAGACCCCACCTCTTAATTCCTCACAAAGGCAATTAAATTTCAGCATGGCTTTTGGTAGGGACACTTGAAACCTAATTGGCTATATTGGTAAATTTATTCAAAATCTAAGGCTAAGGTGGTATATACCTGTGATTCTAGCACTTGGAAAGTGAAGGCCAGAGGAACTGCAGTTCAAGGACAGCTTCAGCTACAGTTTGAGGCCAACTTGGGAAACATGAGACTATCTCAAAAAGCAAAGCAAAACAAAACAAAAATCTACTTAGTGAGTGAAAGGAAGGATTGACTCAGAACACACCAAGACCAAGTTCTCAGCACAAAAGAGATTTCTTTTCCCCAGACGAACAAAGGGCAGGAAATATGACAAGAAGACAAGAGGAGAGAGAGAGGACAAGGGGGAAGGAATGACAAAGGAAAGGGATATTTGCTCCAGAGGGCTGGCTTGGAATAGAGAGAATGACAGTTTATAAAGAGAAAAGGGGAACCCCTGTGTTAAGATGAATTGGTTAATTTTAATTGGGCATGTTAATTAGGTTAGCTAAAGGGGAATTTTGATTGCTGGACCTCAATCCTTTTTTTTTTTTTTTTTTTTTGGTTTTCAAGACAGGGTTTCTCTGTATCGCCCTGGCTGTCCTGAAACTAGGTCTGTAGACCAGGCTGGCCTTGAACTAACAGAGTTCTGAGATTAAAGGCGTGCAGCACCACCACCCAGCTTGGACTTCAATATTTTTTGATAGCTGGACATTGGAGATCAGCCTCAGGAGGACAAAGTGGCCAAATTAGGAAATGGACCTTGGTGGCTAGCTTTAGGAATGTAATCTAATAGTTTTCAGCAAGGGGGAGAAGGTAAAAGACAAAACCTGCCTGAGTTTTGGCATGCTCTGGCCTGCTAGAGCCCTTCAGCAAACATCTATGTCAGCTGCTCTGACAAGTAGTGGCAATGCCATGGCGAAGCAGTCACGGTCCCTGCTTTAGGAGCTTGCAGGGAAGGAGACCCTACCCAGGAGGCCCCGTATCTGTTCCCTTCCTGTTCCCAGTTCTGATAAGTACACTTTGCCTCCCCCCCCCCCCCCCCCCCCCCCCCGAAACCCCCCTCCCCCCCCGCCCCCCCCCCCCCCCGTGTAGGGAGGCACCTGGTCAGTGGAGAAGGTGATCCAGGTGCCCTCCAAGAAAGTGAATGGCTGGGTGCTTCCTGAAATGCCAGGTGAGTGTCAGCAGAGGGCGGGGGTCAGCAAGTTGATCCTGGCCTGGGAAAAAGAAGACAGACTCCTTAAAGCCCATCAACCCATTCCTTAGGCTTGATCACCGACATCCTGCTCTCCCTGGATGACCGCTTCCTCTACTTCAGCAACTGGCTGCATGGAGACATTCGGCAGTATGACATCTCTTGCCCACAGAAGCCCCGCCTCACTGGACAGGTAGAGGCATTAGTGAAGGAGTCTGAGCATAGCATAGAGGCTGGGAAGCTGCTGAGGGATGATAAGGGAGGAGCATGAAGAACAAAAATGTGGGCAAAGGTACAGGCTTAGAACTGGAGAGCCAAGGCTGAACACAAGGAAAAGAAAGGGATGCTCGCAGAGTATAGGGGAGCACACTTTCAAGGCCAGTGCTACAGAAACATAGGCAAGTGGTTCCCTGTTGATTTGAGCCCAGCCTGGTCTACATAGTGAGTTTCAGGCCAGCCAGAGTTACATGGTGAGATGCTATCTTAAACAACACACACATAAGGGCAGGAAATCACTTCTTCTGTAGTGTCCACACTACATCTTTTTGCAGTGATAAAATGCCTGACAAATACAGAGGAAGGAAAGGTTTATTGTATCATGGCTTGAGAAGGGGTAGAGGCCATCATAGACAGGTGTGGTGATACAAGCATAAGGCAGCTGGTCATGTTCTGTGTGCAGTCACAGGAGGCAGAGTTGAATGCTGGGACTCAGCTCCTCTTTTTATTCATTCTGGAGCCTCAGCCCATGGGATGGCACTCATGTTCAGGGTGGATCTTCCCTCCTAATCAAATCTCTCCGGAATGCCCCACAAACACTCAGGGATGGGGGGTGTCCTCACTGATTCTAAAACCTAGTGAGGTCGATGATTATTAACCATCACCGTATCTCTTACTGTTGGTCCCCTTGTCCTCTGCATGCCTTCACCCAGATCTTCCTTGGTGGCAGCATTGTTAAAGGAGGGCCTGTGCAAGTGCTGGAGGATCAAGAGTTGAACTGTCAGCCAGAGCCCCTAGTGGTCAAGGTGAGAACTTCTCTCTGGTCTCACTGGCCCCTCAGATGCACCCTCAAGGAGAATTGGGTGGGATACAGTTGGTGTGCAAATTGGGCACCAGTTGCTTAGGCAGTCTGAGTGTTACTTAGAGTCTGACCTCTTGTTTCCCCCAAGGGAAAACGAGTTCCTGGAGGTCCTCAGATGATCCAGCTCAGCTTAGATGGGAAGCGTCTTTACGTCAGCACGTCACTGTACAGTGCCTGGGACAAGCAGTTCTACCCTGATCTCATCAGGTGAGAAGCAGTGTGGGGACTCACCTCTCCAACTGTCCTCTCCTAGAAGCATCATTTGGTCTTTTGAAGGTGCCTCAGGAACTTGGCCTGTACCCCACCATACAGATGGCCCATTTAGACCTTGTGCCATCCTCAGGAACCCATTTATCTCACAAAATCTTGGGGTGGGGGTTGGCCACATACAACCTCTCACTTACTCTCTTTTTCTCTTCCAGGGAAGGCTCCGTTATGCTGCAAATTGATGTAGACACAGTCAATGGAGGGCTGAAGCTGAACCCCAACTTTCTGGTGGACTTTGGGAAGGAGCCCCTTGGGCCAGCACTGGCTCATGAGATTCGATACCCAGGGGGTGACTGCAGTTCTGACATCTGGATTTGAAGACTAGCCCTAAAGCCCATCCTCCACATTCTGAGCCCTCACTCTAAGGAGCCTGGCTCCACTCTGTTCTTTCAGCCCCACCTCTCCATGGACATGCTGAGATGACTGAGATCTGTTGAGTATCATCTTACTACTGTTGCTTATTGTTCACTGTGCTATTCTTAAATGAGCTTTTGGAAGCACCAACAAATAAAATGCTGACCCTATCCTCAGATCACCTTGTCATGGAGGGGAGGGGGTTGAGTCCTTTGCCACTGCCACTTTCGTGCATAGAGAAGACCTGAAGAGGACTCCAGAAGGTTGTGGTGACTAGTCTGTGTCAGTGATTCCAGCATGATGCCAATGATGTCAAACATCTCCCTTTTATCATCATACAGAACCAAAAGATTTAGGGGGATGATTGCCACAGGAACCTGAGGTGTGAGCATGTCAATCAATGTTTTAGGCTTTGTGTGTGGGGATCGTGCCCCAGGTTGATACTGGGTTTCTTCCTTGATCTCTCTCCACCTTAGATATGGCGACAAGCTCTCTTTTGAGACCTAGAGCTTGCTATTGCAGCTGGGATGGCTTACTCCAGGGATCCATCTCAGTTTTCCATGTGTTGGGATTACAGGCCAGCCACCGTGCCCATGCAATGTTCACAGTGGCTCTGGAGATCAGAGGACTGGACCTCACACATATCAAGCTCTTTGTCTTTCAACCATCTCCCCAGTCGTGTTGTTTTGTATTTTTCCTAAGTCTGTTTTCTGTTGCTATAACTGAGAAGCTGAGCATCACAAGCAGGATAATTATAAGGAAGAGAGGTTTACTGAGCTCACAGGTCTGAGACTAGGTCATCCAAGGTTGAGGAATGGGCCATCTGTGAAGGCTTTATTGGGGTTGGAAATTCTGCCTCTAGGGATAGCACAGGGTGAGAGAACCATGTGCAAGAAAGAGATAAACATGGAACCAAAATCTCACACATCATGCTTTTGTTCTCTTTAAAGTCTAAACATTTTCTTTGAACAATCCATCCCAGGTAGAACTGATTCTCTCCCTTTGCCTCTTCTACCTACCACATCCTCCTCCAGCGAGAGACTCTTCATATCCATAAGCTGCCTGAACTCAAGCTCACGATGAACATGCCATTGTGCCTTTGTTTTGTTTGAACAGCGCAAACAGATTACAGAAAAGAGAGAAAGAACTTCTGAGGGTAGGAGGGGTCCTAAGGGAGGAATACCTACATGTGAATTGAAAAACCTTAATTCCCAGCACATGGTTGAATATCAGCATAAAGTATGCTTTAATAAACAATAGAGTGTTTGCTATGAACAAATTATCTTAATTATTATTCTATCACTGTCAAGAGACACCATGACCAAGGCACTCCTGTGCCATGTTTTCCTACCATAATAATGGTAGACACTTCTCCCTGTGGAATCGTAAGTCCCAAACAAATTCTTCCTTTCTTAAGATGCCTTGGTCATGTTTTTTTTTTTATTTTTTTTATTACAGCAATAGAAAAGTAACTAATCCACACTGTCAAGTTCACTGAGAATCTGGTCCTAAGGGGTCACCTGGGCTTGAGAAGAACTTCCGCTCCTCTACTCTGCCTTTTACCAGTTTTTTCATGTGCATGAGAAGTCCAAGGCCTGGCCAACTGTGGCTTCACCTGGAAACACTGAGGAAAGTTTCTCTCTGTGCTGGCCCTCCTCTCTATAGATTCAACAGTTACAGTGCACTGGGTGAGGTCTCCATGGCCTCCCTGAACAAGAAACAGGTGCCTCCTTACAGCTACAGGACAATTCAAGAGATGTCCTATAGTTCCCTGGGACTTATCTTATGGGGGAAGAGTAAGTTAATAAGAAAAAATATCTCTGGTCATACCTGTATAGGTCTCCAACTATGGTTATTGAACACAGAGAAGGTCATTTATACCTTCTGTGTACTTCTAACTACTGTGTAATATTTGCATGAAGCTTGAGTAAAAGCCAAACACTTTTAGATAAAACTTGATTAGACATACAGTTTTGTTCCTTAAGCTAGTCCTGTATCAAGCTCAGATAAGTAATCCATTGATTTTTCTTTTTCTTTCAAAAAGCAGCAGACTGTGTACAGAATGGAACACAATCACACACAGGGATACACAAAGAAGCATCCCAGCTCTCAGCCACAGAAAGCCAACTCCAGGGCCGGGGGTACTGGCGCAGGCCCTTCATCCTAGGAGGCAGAGCCAGGTGGATTTCTGAGTTTGAGGCCAGCCAGGGCTACACTGAGAAATCCTATCTCAAAAAAAAAAAAAAGTACAAAACAAAACAAACAAAAAAAAAATCAAAACAACAAAAAAGAAACTCTACTGATTTAAGGTTTGACATCAGTGTTTTTAACTTTGACCTTAGAGATATTAATACCATCTACATAAAGTCTTATTTTTTTATATACCTTATGTAGCATTCTGTTAAAACATCTGGCCATCTTAATCTTTATATAAAAATTCCCTCTTACTAAAAATATTTTCGTTTTTATAGCCTTTTAACATGGTCCCCCCCCCCCTTTTTTTTCTGTGTAAACCCTGGCTCCCCTGGGACTCACTATGTAGATGAGGGTAGCCTTGAACTCCGAGATGTGCCTGACTCTGCCTTCTGAGTGCTGGGATTAAAGATGTGTACCACCAGGGGTTTTCTTTCCTTTTTAATAGCATAAAATACAGGAACATTACTGAATTAATTTGCTGGTTGTGAGAACTTTTGCCTTCGGGTGGGAAAAAAATATCTCTCCCCTCCTCATAAGGTCCTAACAACAAACCAATGTTTGATGTCACCAAAGTTCACGCTTAGGGAAACAGTTTCCTGGGCTTCCTAGAGAGCACAGGTGAGGGTTTACTGACAGGAGTGTGAGCGACCCAAAAGCAGTGTGCCGGCAAGTCTTCACCCACTGTGCGATGGTTTCCCACGGCTGTGTAGGTGAAGCTGCTTTCCCTTAGTCTTTTCAGCACACATATTTTAGCTTCTCCCAAGACCTTGAGACCACGTGCAATTAGGGAAGAGCTACATCCAACTGCATCCAATGACCCTCCTGCTCCCTTGTTCTACGAAGGAGCATTGAAACTCAAGACCAGTTGTGGTGATATTTAAATTTTTAAATTATTTTTAAAAATTATTTTTAACTATATGAGTGAGAGCCCACTAGTGAAGATGCCAGTAGAGGCTGGAGGTGTGAGGTTTCCTGGAGCTGGAGTGATGCGTTCTTGTGAGCTGCCTGATGTGCATGCTGGGAACTGAACCTGGGTCACATCTGGAAGAGCACTGAGTGCTCTTAACCACTGAGCCAACTCTTCAGCCCCAGTGTGCCAATCCTTTATAAGCAGATATAGCTGGTCTTATGAAAATAGCAGTTGTTTGGCTTAGAGCGGAATCCAACACACATAGGATAATGAAATACGTTATTATTTTCTGTGTACGTGCTGTTACACTATGGGGCTTTATAAGCTCCCATGCAAATCTTATAGAAAATACACCAAGATGAAAAACTCAAGTGATAGCACATGCTGGAGAGGTTGTGGAGAAAAGGGAACCCTCCTCCATTGTTGGTGGGAATGTAAACTGGTTCAACCACTTTGGAAGTCAATCTGGCGCTTTCTCAGACAACTAGGAGTAGTGCTACCTCAAGACCCAGCTATACCACTCCTAGGTATATACCCAAAATTTGCTCAAGTACACAACAAGGACATTTGTTCAACCATGTTCGTAGCAGCTTTATTTGTAATAGCCAGAACTTGGAAACAACCCAGATGTCCATCAACGGAGGAATGGATACAGAAATTGTGGTATTTTTACACAATGGAATACTACTCAGCAATCAAAAAGGAGGAAATCATGAAATTTGCAGGCAAGTGGTGGGATCTAGAAAAGATCATTCTGAGTGAAGTATCCCAGAAGGAGAAAGACAAACTTGGTATATACTCGCTTATATAGACCTACAAGATATGATAAACATAATGAAATCTACACACCTAAAGAAGATAATCAAGAAAGTGGACACAGGCGAAGGTGATTAATCCTCATTTAGAAAGACAAATGGGATGTGCATTGAACGTATGACAGGAGTCTATCACAAAAGGGATCTGAAAGACTCTACCTAGCAGTGTTTCAAAGCAGACACTAAGACTCATAACCAAACCCTCGGCAGAGTGCAGGGAATCATATGAAAGAAGGGAAGTTAGTATGATATGGAAAGGATAGGAGCTCTACAAGGACCAAATATATCCGGGCACAGGGTCTTTTCTGAGACTGACACTCAACCAAGGACCATCTATGGATATAACCTAGAACTTCTGCTCGGATGTGGCCCGTGGTAGCTCAGTAACCAAGCAGTTCTCCAAAGTAAGGGGAACACGGACTATTTCTAACAGGATCTCAAGGGCAGGCTGTTTGACACCCCCCCCCCCCCAGGGGAGAGCAGTCTGTTAGCCACAGAGGAGGACTTTGCAGCCAGCCCTGAAGATACCTGATAAAACAGGGTCAAATGAAAGGGGAGGAGGTCCTCCCCTATCAGTGGACTTGGAAAGGGGCAGGGAGGAGACCAGGGAGGGAGTGCGGGGTTGGGGAGGGAATGAGGGAGCGGGATACAGCTGGGACACAGAGTTAACAAAATGTAACTAAAAAGAAAAATAAAATTAAAAAAAAATAAAATGTTAAAAAAAAAAGAAAATACAAGACCATCAAAAATCTGTGTGTGTGTGTGTGTGTGTGTGTGTGCGCGCGCGTGTGTATGAATACAAGCAAAACATGTCTGAAACTCTCAAATACTAAATCTTTAAAACCACAGTGCTAGAGTTATTGAGGTTGTAACCTGCTCAAACTCTCTAGCCCATCTGTGGAGACCTACTTTAGTTCTCAGCACACCTGTGGCTCCTCTGTTAACACCTGCTGTCTCCTTTAGCAAATCACAAGCCATTTTGCCTCCAAGTCTCCATTTTGATCATAAGATGAAATTAAGTTCAAGTTCTTAGGACTACATGCCTGAGACCAGAATACAATTCAATAGTTCAATATTTGCTGCTTAGAATAAGACAATAGACGATAAATGCATGTTCTGTTGGAGTTAAGACTGCAATATCCTATGTTTTTTTTTTTATTTTCCAGAAAGCTGAAAAGCCCCCAAGAATTCCCCTACCTTGAATTTCAGCCATCAGCTTAAAGTGTTTTGTCTAGCTACCTCAATACAA